AGTTTAAACTTGACCAAATTGTTTTTTTTTTCTCCCTTTTTTTTTCACTTCTGTAAACGATGCACAATTTTTGTGAATAATTATACATTTATTAATGTATTAATATTTTATATATATTTAGATTTTAGACATTATTTACTGATTATGTATTAAGTATTTTATACTTTTTAAATTTCATTTTGTAAAAAAATCACATTTATTTTATTTATTATTTGAAAATCATGAAAATTGTAAATTTTTTATCTAATTTCCTTTGTATCAAGGCAATTTGAATTTTTATAATAAGCATTGAATTTAATTCGTATTTCGACACATTATAAGTATTTGTACAGTATTATTTATTATTCAGAATAATATATAATAAAGTATGAATATTTATAAAAATTTATTTGTTATTTGAAAATTGTAAATTTTTTGTTTAATTTTTTAACATTGACATTATTTGAATTTTCATAATGAACAATGAATTGATTTAAAATTTTTACATGTTATAAATATTCGTACAGTATTATTTAATTTGACAAAATTACTGTTATTGATTTAAAATGTTTAAAAATATTTTTGATGATTTTTAAACTAATTTTTTAACTGCCAACTCTGAATTCAATTTAGGGTATAGACAGATTGCTTTGCTTCACAAAAAGAAAGCAGTTTGTTTCTCTTATAAATGCTGAAGCAGTGTTTGGCATGAATATACTACCAAAGCAAATTTTTACAAACTTGCCCAAAATAGCTGGATAGCTAAAATGTTAAATTATAACTTCAAGCAATTTTTTTTATAAAACAATTTAAATCATAAATAGTGTTCAATGACATTTTGTTGGTTTGATATAATTATTTACTAAGGCTTTGGATTGAATTAGTATGCTGTGCCAATCTTTTATACATAAATATACAAATGAAAACTAAAAATTCATTCTTGATAGTTTTTTCTTAGTGACTAAGGCAATTTTTATCAAATATAACATCACACATACAAGAACTATTTATTAAAAGTAATTTAGTATTTTTTTACTTTAAACTTAATATTTGCTGCAAAATATAGAAAATGATTTTGAAATTAGAACAAAATAAAGTAAATAATGAAAATTTTTAAAAAATTCTAGCTTCTTTTCTTGGTGTTAATAAGAGTAACAAACTAAGAAGTATGTCTCTCTAAAAAGTGAACTTCTGAGTCCAGGGCTTTGTGGCTATGAGGAGAAAAGCACATTTTAAAGAAGGGAGCCTTCAATACTAAGGCTATTCAAATTTTTGGGGCCCTCAGATTAAATATTTTTTCTCGTATATTTATATATTCAAATATAAAACAATTTATTTATCTTTTTATTTAAGAGAGCATATTTAAAATTAAAATAAATAATAATAAATTAAATTTTACTTTATTCTGTTGAATTAGAACTAAAAAAATTATCGTATTTAATTAATGTATATTTGAAATTGATTTTTTTTAAAAAAATCATTGTTTTTCTTAATTTTTTAAAATTTATTTAAAAAAAATTTTTTTTAAGGGGGCCCCTAAACATTAGGGGCCCCCTTAAAAAATCATTGTTTTTCTTAATTTTTTAAAATTTATTTTCAAAATTTTTTTTAAGGGGGCCCCTAAACATTAGGGGCCCCAGGCCATGGCCTAATGGGTAATCCAGCCCTGTAACTGACCAATCTATCCCGAATATTTACCCCATAAGTGAAAAAATTTAACCATTTATCATAGTCAATGACAGTGCTTTAACTAGCGAGAAGAATTCTTCTGTTTGTGCATAAGTAAAAAAAAAAAAAAAGAGTTGTGGTTAAAAGTGTATTCTTAATATGTTTTCTGTTTATGTCCTAAACAATAGAGTCATAAAAAAATTATGTAGTTTTAAAATTCATAGAGAAAATGTCACTGCTCATACATGCTTCGTATAATAATCTTTGAACTTATTAGCATGGAATAATTAGAGGCGTGCAGAAATGTGTGGATGCTCAGGGTAAACCGTTTGATTAAACACCCTAGAAAAGGAGTGGAAGGGGCAAAAAGTGCCAATTTAAACTAAATGAAATAACAAACAGTATAGCAATTATGGATAATCATAAAAATGTAAATCCCTATTTTATACTCAATTTTATGTAAATTATATAAATAAATTTTTACATAAAATAGTTACATATTTACGATAATAATTTATTTCCAACAAATAATTCCTAAATCTTCCCATGCATTTGATTTTGCTTGAGTCAACTATTTACTTAGTAAAAAATTTAAAATCATTATAATAATCTGTATGGTTTTGTAACCTTTAGTTAGTTGTCAATTGGATGTCCTTTTGTCTAATTTACTGGGGCCATTGCTCCCTTTATCCACCTCTCAGCACGCCTCTGGGACTAAGTAAGGTTTAATACATTTACATTCTCACTCTTGTTTCAATCTAAAGCTTTAGTATAAAATGGTAAATATCTATAGAAAAAATGAGTTGGAAAATGCTCAAAATTTTTGTAACTACTTTTATGTTAAATGCAATTTTTAAATAAATGCATTCTTTTGGTTTTCTTGTGTTTCCTGTAATATTATTCTCTCTTCAAATGGCACAAACTAGCTGAAACTCATCTACGGTTACGTTCGAATATTTCATAAAATTTTGACCCTCAGGTAGCAAAATATTCACATCACAAACCCTCCATATAAAAATGTTGCAGCACCTCTTCTTCCCCCTTTTTTTCTGGAACTTTTACTGTAGTAATTTAATCCAGTCGACGTGCCATTTAACTTGTGGTCTTAAGAAAATTAACGTTGTAATGTGAGATTGCTATAACATCTGTATATTCGCTCAATGCTGGACGTAATTTAAAAAAAAAACTCACTACAAATCCAATCAATTTACTTCCTTTTAAATCTATTCTAAGCATATGGCATTATTTTAATAAGAAACAGCCATTTTAGTAAAATAACATGTCCAGTGAACTGAAACTTTTTTAAATCTCCAAAATAACTAATTTATTGCTAAACTTCACAAAAAGAGTAAAGAAAGTTTTCAGACAAGAAAAATATGACTGATGAATCAATTGAAGCATTAAAAAAAAAAACATTTACAAAGATCTATGAATGCATACAAGAGACTCTGGTTTCCTGCCGAGAATTCAATACACGCCTGTAATTCTCAATATTAAAAACAATTGATATTTTGCTATCTTTTTGACTGTAGATAATGCCATGGACCACCTAGAATAAAAATGGGTGCTCTTTGCTATATTGAAATGAACGGTTCAGTTCAGCCACTGTAATTGGTGTTAAAAAAACATTGCGTCTATGGAATAGTAAATGGCACATCATAGTAATGGGTGATCATATTAAACAGAGTAGACTACATTAGGATTAAGTTGAAAGATGTAACTTAGCATAAGAAAAAATTAACATTTTAATTTATAAAATGTATGTATAANTAGCTAAAATAAGTAAAAATGCGGAAGGGTTAGCAGCTAGGGCGTAGATTGAATTTTCTGTTTATCTTTGAAAATCGTAAATAAATATAATTATTTTACTTCAATGACTGAATTTAAAAAAAACGGGATATTTATTTAAAAAAACGAAACTTTTAGAGAATCGGAGTTTTTGATAAAAAGGCTGAAATTCGAGAGACAAAAAAAATCTCATCCCTGTATAAAGGTCAACCAGTTTTATCCCAAGGAAATGATTTTTAGAGAAACTTCAGAGGGAGGAAAAGGGACTTCAACAATTTCCCTCCGCGGAAAATTAAATTCCTCATAGAACATTTTAACTTGGGCAAAAAAAAATTTCAGCGGAAATTAGCGGGAAAAATGGAAAAATCTCATTCCTGGTTGAAAGAAAGCATAAGAAAAAATTAACATTTTAATTTATAAAATTTTCTTTTAGAAAATATTTGTTTTCCTTCTGTATTCAAAACTCTTGATCTATGAAAGTCCTTGAAGAAATTTTTTCCCGCTTTTCCTTTCCACAAATATAATTTTTGTCAAGTGTATTTTTTCATTTCAGTGTTTTAAGTACACATTGCTTTTGAATTAATTATTTTTTTCTTTATAAATTAACATAAATTTTGTATTAAATTCTGTCATTTTAAATATCTTTCATTAACAAATGTTGATGCTGAACAAACCTTTTCAAAATATAAAAATTTGCTTCTAGACATTTGGCGATCTTTCAATTTCATCAACAAAAAAAAAGAAAATTATAATACAATAGACTTTTGAAGTTCTTGAAAATAGTGACAAAAAATTAATAAATTCTTATTTATCTCTATCAGGTATTTATTATATTCATAAATTATATATTATGATTTGTACTTTTTTAAAAAATAATGTAAAACATGTTTCCAAAAAATTTTTAAGGGCATTTTTCATTTTAAGTTCATTTTCGATGGTTTCTAAAGACTTTGCATATCTTATTCATAGATCATTGGCATCTCTAATGTATAGGAATAAACTATCCTGGTTATGCATCATAAAAGAAAAAAAAACTAGATTTATATTATCAAACTTTATGGCGCCGCACAGTATTTTGCTGAAGCTTACTTGTTCAAAACAATGATTTATACAGTAGGGAACCGATTATCCGGAACGATCGGGACCATTGCTATTCCGGATAACTAATTTTTCCCGTTTTCTGAATTGCTACAAAAAGCAGTTTTTTTATTGTTAAACCCAACTGAAAAAAAAAATATTTGGAAATAATTGTGAAAAGAAGAAAAAACTATGAAGTAATACACTAATGATTATTTTCAAAATGATGGTAAGGTAAACATCTTTCAAAAAAGAAAGAAAAATCTTATGAGGGAAATTTTTTATTTTATTTTTAAAATGGCGAGAAAATTTATCGAATTTCGTTCCGGATAATGGGTTCTGTACTGTACATTTTATATAAAAGCAAAAAATGTGAGGACACACCCAATTACAACTCAAATTAACAAATTGGAAATTTAAGTAATAAATAAGAAACACTGGACAAAAAGGGAATTTAAATTGAATAAATCAGAACAGTTAAACTGTACTCTATTTAAAAACCTTTATTAAATAACCATTCTTTAATTTCTTCTACTCTATCACCTTCAAAACTAACCCAACATCCAATTTCATTAACATGTGATTCGATCTTAGTTCCAAACTTTTCTTCTAGATGAGTTTTCAAATCATGTTCAAACACCTACAAATAGAAGCAGAAATGTATCCATCAAAATTTGGTTTTCTTCATTTCACATTTTTAATACAGTCAATTATTACAGGGCTTCCAGTTATGGGATTCAGATGTTAGGCACATGCAGTTTCTTAATATGAAAATAATGTATGACTCATTGCTTTAATTCCTGTGGTAAATATATATGCAGTAAACGCTTGATATAACGAGTACAGCATATTACAAGAAGTCTGCAATTATGACAAATTTCCAAGTCGTCGCCAATCAATAATTCAAGTTTTTTTTTTTTTTTTTTTAATTTTTTTTGGATGAAGGTCTTTTAGTTTTGTGCTTAAATAAAAATAAATAATATAAAAGAAATTGAAATTACTTCCATCTGGCTAATCAATAAGTACCAAATAATCATATCCTTGGTAAGTAGATGGATTTGAAAAAATTGTATACTTTTGCAACATGAATATTAACTTTTTAAGTACAAAAGGGTTATAAAAATATTGCATATGCAGTGCAAAGTCCCATATTCGGAAGTCCATTTAAGAGAAGGATCTTTTTTCTGGAACTTTTTAACAAAACTCTTTTTCCCTTAATTATTATTTATATATAGAATATATTTTTCATTTGCGACTTGTTGAAAAAATATATGCAGGGATGAGAATCCTCCGTTTTTCCGCTGCTTTTTGATTTTTACCAGACTTCCGATTCTTGTTCGATTTTAATTCGATTTCCGCTCAATATGTAAAAAAAAAAAAATGGATATCACGTAAACGAAATTCGACATTTCACTACAGCGCGAAAAAAATCGCGTATTTTTTTCACGTCTCGCATAAAAGGATTATTACCACCAAAAATCACGCATTCAATTTCAGTGTGCGAAAAAAATTTCAAATTTTGAAAAAATTGTGGATTTGAGATTAAATTGTTATGACTAAAGCAGGTCATTAATTGATTATTCATATATAACAGTATTCGAATAATCGATATTCAAATTCATATAACAGTATTCGAATTTTGCGTATCATAATAATATTTTATTAAAAATGAAATGGACGTGGAAATCCCAGAATGCTGAAATGGCGATCGGCCAAACCGCAAAGACAATAAAATCGTCACAAATCAAGTTATCAAAAGGTAATTCTTCAGATGCGCGATTCGAGATTTCGTGTGTATGAAAATGTAGCATAAAAAAATAGTGAAAATCGGTAATAATAACTGACAAAAATGAGATCGTAAATCTACGTGAGATTGCAGGTGAATTGTCAATAATTGAGCGCAAATCGAAGTTTGCTGATCAAAGTAATATATTCTATTAAAGCATTGAAATTTAAAAAACGCAATGAAAATTCGTTTTAATTGACAATTGGCAAAACCACGCGGACTTACTGTGGAATCGTCGATAATCGGGTAGATTGAGAAATGATTATAAACTGAAATGCGTGATTCAGAATTTGTATCGAGATTTTAAAAACCATGTGGAAATCTGTAACAAAATCTTTCGAAATAGTGCAACCAAGCAAACTAAGTGGATTTATTCACTGTTTATTAAAATTGGCGTTAATTATCGTCTATTTGTTATTTTTTATTAACTATCTGGACTTGCAGACATCCCGTCGATTCTGAATATGAACCTTCTGTATTTAAAAAATGTAAATGATATAACTTTGAAACTTATTTACAGTTAAAAATAAACTACTTAAAATACGCAAATTTTGTTGCACTTTCATACCAGGAAAATATCGAAATATATAAGTAATATCTCTCAAATTATTTGTAATATTTATTAAATGCATAGCAGAAGGATGTTCATAAAGGTTTTTTATAAAGAGTAAAATTTCACTTTATTTTTCCCTGTTACATTTTAGATTAAAACTGTTAATATTAAAAAGTAAAAAAAAAGTGAAAAATACAGATGACAAGTTCTAAAAGCAAGACTATTGTAATGTTGAAATATTATAAATTCATGATGTAAAATTTGTAACAAAATTTCAAACTAGAAATTCAAAGGTTAGAAAAGAAAGATTTTAAAATAACATTCAGAAGCAAAGGCCCACTATGGTTTGAAGTGCCATAAAAGGCCTCACATTCTCGATGTCATTAATAGAATTAATTATGTGATTAGAAAAAATTTTTATTGGCGAGATACTACAATTTATAGAGCAGTGAAAAATTAAAAAAAAAAAGAACTATAAAAATAATATTAAAGGAAAGAAATAACAGTAGCAGATTAATTAAACATAGTTTCTCAGGTGCTTAAAAATAAAATAAATGATCTGGCAAAACACTTACATATATGTCACCATTTACATTTTTAACTCTAGTTGTAAAATATCGATGTTTAGTTTCAAGATCTTCATAAACTGGTAACATATGATTTCTAGTCCTTCCAACATTATATGGAACATTAGGTAGAGTTTCTGAAAAATGAATAAATGAGATAAGAAAAAGCATAAATGTTGTAGTTAAATATGAAAATAATTCAGCCAAAACTTATCTAGAATTAAATTATGAACTAATAAATTTTGAAAGACTGATAGTGTTTTTCTCAATACATTAAAAGCTCAATACAACAATATTAAAAGTCTACTATTATGTCCTCATCAGTTTGCCCAGATTGCTTTTTCCAGGTGTGCGCAATACACCTTTTCCGAAACAGGAAATTTATCTCTTTAAGGGTGAAGTTAGACACTCGAGTTGCCAGACATGCTCTTTGAGACAGTTAATGGTGAGATAATTTAAGGGCTTTTTCCTTAACTTCATCAGCAAAAAATCCAAACACATAGTGCACAATTTTAGGTGCTTGTGATTTTAAAGATGAAAAATAGAAAATGAATTTACTAAAAGAATAAATTTTTTGAAATAGAAACTTTAGAAAAAATTAAAAGACAAAAAAAGAATTGCACGCTATAAACGATATTTCAGGCGTGAATGCTCATTCCTCTTCACTCTAGGACTAACACAATAGACCAAAGAAAAAAATTCTCTTTCTCTCGCTGACCTGAGCCTAAACCTGTCCTAAAAAGGGACCCCACCCCTACTTGAAATACTTATACCTCGTTACCTTAGTCACAACCACGGTACCAGACGAATGGCTTGGGGAGTTCTTACTTTAGACAAATTTTATAATAATATATATCACTCAACCACGTCCAAGCACCTAACCCCATTTTTAGAGCTCTATTATTTAATGGCCGTGGTAGGAATACCACATTTTAACCCTGGTCAGACGACGTGACAGCGTCTGAGCTGGTACCTCTCTATCCAAACTTCCACACCACAGAGAATTTTTGCCCAAGACCAGGGTTGGGTTTTTGCCGTCAAAAACTGGTTTTTGACATGACAGTGGTAAAAACTGTGTTTTTACCGGTAAAAACCGTCAAAAACCTACTGTTTTCTTTAATTTATGGCATATAGTGGACAATATATTATTTTCACTTAATTGCCTTTATAAATGAATGCTGTAAATGATTGCTATTGATTTTGCAACTATATACATGTTTTCTTATAGAAGGATATACATTCATACAGAAATACTGTAACATACTTATTGAAAATAGTGATACTTAATTTTTATCATATCATTATAGCTTGATTTGCAAAGGATTCAAAATTTTGCACATCTTAATTGTTAGAAATAAACAAACAAACAAACAAAAATACTTGAAACTATTAATAAATTCAAGAACTAAAAAGAAGAATTTGAAATTTGGCATTTCTTAAATATTAGAAATAAGCTAAACAAAACTTGTAACTACTAAACTACTAACAAACTCTAAGTCAGGAATGACTTGACATTCTTCAGTAATGTAATATAATATGCCAAACAAAATGATGCTTGGAAATGTTGAAAATTTTGTTTAGTATCCTAATATTTTACTTCAAATAGTATGATTCGATATAATCATGTTGGGAAAATGCAAAAATCTGTTCTTAAATATCTTTTAACAACTTTTTTTCTAATTTTATTGCCCAAAAATGAATTAATTTTAAATCATAAGCAGTTAAACTCAAATTAAAATACAGTTTTATCAAAACTATGGGTTTTTGACAGTTTTCGACAGAGGGTTTTTTGACATGACGGTAAAAACCATGGTATAAACCGGTAAAACCGTCATGTGTCAGGAACTTGCCAACCCTGCCCAAGACAAATTTAAAGTGCACCTCGCTGCATATACACTTGGGCTATTTTGTCGGTTACCAAAATTGAACCCAGTACCCTCAGCTCTCCAACCAGTGGTCAGAGTGACACCTTAACCGACTGAGCAATTGGAATACCCACTTACTATTATAACATTAAATATGTGCTTTTGCTTATATAGCGACAATTCCATCTGCTATTGTGAATTGTTACTATAATGAATTTCTACTGTACTTATCCAAGTTCTGTGAACTTCTTTTCTATCATTTATATAAGATTATCTTCTTTTTTTAATTATAAATATAACAATAAGAGCTTTAAATGTTTATAGACCGGGAACTTTCTTACTGCAAAAGGACAATTAGCAAAATTTTACCCATATATGTAAGCAGTTTAAAATTGTTTTTCTTATTTTTTGTTTTAATATATTTATTCCCCTAATGTGATTTTTGGAATAATAATAATGTTAAAACATTGTTAATGTTTTAATGTGACATTACATTAATGTGATTTTTTAATAAAAATTTTGAAACATTAACTATTAATCGATTTAATCAGACAATCCATCAAACCCCAGTATCAATTCCTGTTAGTTTAAGCAGATTGTGCAAGTAAAATTGGTGATACAGCTCACCTTAGAAATTCAAAAAGCCTAGGACTTTTTGTAATCGCAGCTAAGGGTAATAATAAACAAATAAAAAAATTCATACATCCTTTAAATTAAGTAACATTTTACCCCTAAAAACTAAAAATAATAAACTAATATTTTTTTAAAACATATTGACTGATTGATTTAGCCATTTTTTAAAAAAAATTATGCAAGAAATTTTCTAAAACACTTTTGGGTTTGTCTTCCCAGTCAACAAATTTTAGAAGTTTGTTTTGACAAGAACAGAATTAAATCTAGATTTTTATCATGCGGTTAAATTTTCTATCACAGGTCGCATCTCTGTGAGGAACAGTTAATGCGGTCTGCTTTAACTTTGCTAACACACTGTAAGTATTACTTTTCCTGTATCTGATTTTATGCCATTTTGTATCAATATTTATCAATGAGAATAAAAAACTGCTCTAAATTTAAATATTATTCAAATTCGCTATTTTTGAAAACTTAAGATATCACACGCTTTGTTGATGCAATGCATTGTTTAAAACATTGCTACACTTTAAGTTTAATTTGACATTTTAGAATAATTAAAAAAAGGTTCCAAAAATGAAATAAAATGATAAACTATACAAAATTACAGGCAAGGAAAAAAAGTTTTGAGAGTTGCATACAAAATGTAAAAAGATCCACTCATGAATATATTAGGACAAAAAAAAATGTCTAAGAAAATNAGTCTGAGAAAATATTTTGGTGGCCTAATTCAGTGTTTTCACTACAGTGCGAGAACCTCGCATATTTTTTTTCTTTTCTCGCAATAAAAAATTATTAACGCGAGAAGTTCGTGCACTCTATTAATCAATTTCAAAATGCGCAAATTTTGCAAACAAATTCGTCTTTTGCTATTTTAAATAATATCCGTTTCACTTATCTTCCTTGATCTTTCATTATTTTGAACATCGGTCCTTGTTATCTAGCTTCCCTACTTACCAGTATTGTTCAGAACCGGTGCCCCCCCCCCGAATCACGGAACCCCTTTCAGAACACATTTCTCTGCAATCACGTGTTCACCGTAGGTAAGGTTTCTTCATGTAAGACGTTTACATTTGTTGTACATGAATGTAAGATGGACAAATACCTTGTTAAAGCGACATCTTCTACTCTGTAACAGACAAATGAAAATTAAACAAATGTCGGTAGAAACGGTCAAAACGAAACAAATACGGATATTTTTCAGCCAAATAAATATAATAGCTGATGAAAAAGTAGATATAGAACATTTTCCATATGATGATGCAGCAAAAGTATTCAATTAGAAGATGTTAAAAATTTATTATAATTCAAGAAATAATTTTTTTCCAAGTCTCTTCATATTTTTTTAATTTTTAGAAATCTCACCCTGTTTTTGAAAAAGGGTGTGAAATTCTCTCCCATTTTTTTCCTGTAATGAAAACACTGCTAATTAGACACAAAAGCCTGATTATTGGCAGATCTGTTGATATGACTTTTTTGACAAACACAATAGTTTAATATAGTTGCTTTTGAATTAGTATTATTAAATAATTAGTATTATTAAACAATTACCCTGTATTATTTGCACTTTGTGCAATATAAATTGATTTGAAAGATTGAGAATTCAAAAGTAAATAAATGAACAAAAATACTTATAAATTTTTTTTAAACGAATGAAGAGAGATTTTCGAGAAAATAAGGTAACTTTACGGTTAGCTATTAACCATTATTAACAAAATGAAAATAAGGTAACTTTATTCAGACACAAAAATTATAACCCTAACATTTTCTTTCATAATTTTAGATCAAAAGAATTTACAATACTAGTTTAACAAATAATAGTAATACTAATAAAACAAAATAAGATACCTGAGGGTGCTTTCCAACCTGTGCTTGACACTTTTTTAGGAGGAGTTGGTATTCTTAATTTGGGAAATAATTGCTCAACATATTGCCAGTGACCTTTAACTTCTTCATATCCAGTATATTTAGGATCCTTGTTATCGTCCCATATATCTTTGGGTATTTCATGTTCTTTAGCACGAAAATGCTTACTCTGTAAAATATTAACATGTAAACATGAATAAAGCATATATATGAATATAAATGTATGTAAAGCATGTTAATATTATTCACAAGAATCATATTTCTAGGGGAGTATAGACAGTTGCTTAGTTTTTATTGATATTTAACACTCATTGGTAAAATATTATTTTTACAAACAGCAAGCCTAATCTTTAAACATTGTTTATACTATGATTTGTAATGTTCAGATATTATAGAGGATAGCATTAATATTAATCAGGCTTCATAGTGGTTCAAAGTAAAAATTAGAACAACATTTTACAAAAAAAATCAGGATATTTTTTGATGCATTACATACGAGACTATTTTTAGGCAGTTGAAAGGAAAGGCTAAAAAATAGTGCAATGCACTGCATTTTGTGCAGCATATTTTTTTAATTATCCGTAACATTAAAAAAACAAAACATGGGCAACACTCAACTTTTTCAAACAAAAAATTAAAATAGGAAGAAGTGTTGATCAGAAATGATTTTGAAAAAAAAAAACAAAAAAAATTTGATTTTGCACATTTGTAAATACAGTAAGAAATTTTGGAATCTGAATTCTCTTAACTCAGAAATTAATTGAGTTGGGAATAAAAAATAAATTCATAATAAGATAGATCAAAATACACTAAAAAGGAAACTGATAATTATAGTTATTCTCATGTAAAAATAAATTACTTCAAAAGTAAATTGATAAATAATCTACATACTAAAGATTAAACATATAAAAAAATNCTTCGCTGTGTTAAAAAAAAAAAAAAAAAAGGAGAAAATTTAATGCATGGTAACCTGCAAAGCTTTATTCTTTCAAACTTTATAATACTGGAATATGCTTTGTGCTTTTGTCATTTACAGTGTTCATTAAAAGCGGAGTTAGTGGAATGCACCACTTGGTTTGACTTATGCATACAAAAAATTTGAACCCCAAATGTCTTTTGATACTAATTAAGTACCAAGATTAATAAAAAAAATGGTCTATTTTCATAGTGTTCCTAATGAATCTGCTTAGTTTTAATAATTTGTTTGAGGCTGAGTTTGACCACTTTTATGATTCCATGTCTTTTTCAGATAATTTTTTCAGCAGTTAGGTATTGTTTCTCTGGTTATTTCCGAAATGTTTTTAAAATCATGATATCTTAAATGCAATTTGATTACAACAATCGAATTTTAAATTAATGCATTAGTTTCATACAGGCAGGGTCTATTTTCATAGTGTTCCTAATGAATATGCTTAGTTTTAATAATTTGTTTGAGGCTGTGTTTGACCACTTTTATGATTCCATGTCTTTTTCAGATAATTTTTTCAGCAGTTATTGTTTCTCTGGTTATTTCCGCAATGTTTTTAAAATCATGATATCTTAAATGCAATTTGATTACAACAATCGAATTTTAAATTAATGCATTAGTTTCATACAGGCAGGGCCGTTTTATCCATTAGGCACTGTAGGCAACTGCCTAGAGGCCCTGCCATGACCATGCTCAGGGGCCCTGTGCTACAGAGAAAAAATTGACAATGTTTCTTAAACAGTAAAAATTTAATTCGAAATTTCAATGACGATTGTCTTGCTCTGTACATTACATCGACGCTATTTTAGTACATTTCTGAATGCATTCCAAATAAGATATTAATATTATGGTAGTTAGTTCATATATAACACAGTAATATAATCGCAAGCAATTTTATCGCGGTAATCTTAACGCCGACTAATCAGATGACTATACAGCAAGAGCAGCTTTTTTAACACAACACGCTTGAAAAACGCGCAAAATTCTACGTTGCGAATGCACACTTACTGTTCTGGTACCTACCATAGGTATGTATATTCTATGGCCAAGCTACCAAAGAGTTTGTAAAAATAAGGTTGTTAATTAATAAATTAATAAAAAACTGTCTTCGTTCAACTATGTCTCAAAACCATTTAAATTCATTGGCCATAATGGCAATTGAAAATGATGTATTGGAAAAGGTTAACTTTCAGGATGTCTTGAACGATTTTGTAACAAAAAAAGTTAGAAGAGTTAATATTTAAGCTTATTGTATGATTTTTTTTAAATGCATATATTAATTACTTATATTCTTTTCGTTTGATTCAATATTTTTATTGAATAATGTGATAATATAC